ACCCCGCCCGGCCTCTCGGCGCTGCGCCCCTCGCCTTCCCCATCTCCAGCCGCTCGCTATTTTCACACCTCCCGGTGCCCCGGCCCCGGCGCCCGATTCAGTGCTTAGTAATTAATTTGGCGTTTCAGAATGGTCAGCGGGCTGGATAATGGGCGCATTCATCCCCCGGGCTAATCTGAACAGAGGTGGGAAGAAAGGCTTTCACAGACAGAAAATGCCATTCGCTGAGCGCTCAAAGGGGCTGTCACTCCCAGAATAAATCGCCGCCGCGCCCGCCGGCTTCTCTGGCCATTTCCATACAGCCCCGGCCCCGCGCCGCGGACCCGCCGGCCTCGGCCTCGGCTGCCGGGAATCTCCCTCGAGGGCCTTCGACGGGAAAAGTCGGGCGAGGGCGAGACCCGGGCGGGGGTCGAGGGGAAACGGGGAAGCCGGGGGGGCTCGGGTTAAGGCCGCAGGGGACAAAGAGCTTGATTAGAAAATCAAATGCTAAACTAGAAGGAGGCGCTGCTAATTCAAGGCGCGGACGTTGGAGCGGGGCCTTGGGGGAGCATCCGTCCCAAAGCCCGCGCGGTTCGCAGGAGAGAAGGACCCCGCGGCCCAGAGGCGCCCGTAGCGTGCCGGGGTCACGCAGCAAGCTTCTGGATCTCCCAAATTGTGAATGGAATCCAACGCACAAGCCTTAGATCGTAGGGACAGGGCCTGCTGGTGCCATCCCGACCCTCCCCAGACGCTTCACTCTGGGGTCCCCGCGAGATCAGCTCTTTAGCCCCGGGGCCCGCCTTGGACTCCAGCTCGCGGCTCCTTGCCCGGACCCTACGGTCGGCCTCGGGGCATGGGCTGAGTTCCAGCGGCTTTATCCTCTGACCTCTTCTCGACCCGGGGTCGCCGCGAGTGTTGGGCACCAACGGCCTTCGAGCTCTGAAAGCGGGGGCCTCTCCGTGGGGGCGCCCTCTGCCCTCTGGCGAAGTGGGATCGCGCGCCGCAGCCGCGGCCCTAACCCCGCGGACCGCGCGCCCAGCCCGGCTGCCGAGCCTCCGGGTGGGCAGCGCTGGCTTGGCTCTATCCAGGGTGAGAGGCTCCAGGCGCTTGGTTTTCCTGCTGCTGGGGCTCGCCGTGTGTCCCCCCTCGAGGGACAGATTTGGCTCTGGTCACCTCTAGCCCGGCGGGACCCTCCCATCAAGGGAAGGGAAGGAGCAGTGACCCCTCTTAAGATCCAACTCCAGCTCTGTCCAGAAGCTGGAATGACCAGGGAAGCAGCTGGGGGTGCGGGAGCGGGGAGGGGGGGGGTGCGGGGGGAGGAGGGGGCCTTTCTGGAATGGCCAGATGCGTGTCCCAGAGCTTATAGCCACGGATCTCAGGTCTCCTCACCCGCTTCTGAGTGGAAGTCACTCTTCCCTACTCTGACTCAGTTTCCTTGTCTGCAGAGCAAAGAGGAAATGGGAACAGGCTTGACTCCAAGCGGGGACCCTCAGTGGCAGGATCCCACAGACCACTCACACCCCCAGCCACCAACCAGCTGACGTCTGTCCCAGTTGGTCAGAGGAGCCGGGTTACAGAGCGTTTGTCAGACTCTGGCATCGGCCTCGGGCCGGAACCCCCGAGAGAACTTCCCTAGGCCTGGGGAGGGGCCCGGAAATCTGCATTTTTGAAAACAAGCTTCCCGAAGCATTTTTGATGCAGGTGGTGTAGGGACTATTTTTAGGGACATAGTTTAGGAAACTGGGCTCTGTGCCCGGCTGCCCCTCCCTTCCTGGGACCCACGGTTGTGTGGTGTTCTTTATATCTGATCAGCAGTAAAATTGCTTCCTCCTACCCCCACTGGAGGCCCGAAGTGGGGGGGGGGGTCTACTCCTAGGAGATACCTGGGGATCCCCTGAATGTGCAGCCTGCGAGGGAAAGACTGTGGGTGAGCTGAGCACCCCACCAAACGAGGACGGTCGATGTGGGCTTCAGACCGACTGGACGTTGAACCCCCAAATCTAGGGGCCTTTTCTTACCAACACGCTTTTACAGTAGGACTTAACACAGCAGCCCCGCCCCCCACCAGTACAAATGTGCTCAGAGCCCCCCTCCCACCCTTGGCAAGGCAAACCCTGTCCACACTAGGGACAGAGAAGCTGCCCCCCATAGGGGATCCGTGCCAGGAATAACCCAGGTGTGAGCTGTGGCCCGCAACACCCGACACCTGCCCCTTCACCAGGCTGGGGCTCAGAGGAGAGTAGGCGTGGGGGGGGGGGGAAGGGGGAAGGCCCAGAAGAGTGGGAGAAAGCAGGGGGGGGGAGTAGGAGAAGCTGTTAAAAACGGGGCTGGGGGGGG